CTGCCAGCATCCATGGAACTGTTACAGGCTAACTCGCTCACTTGAAAGTGAGCGGGGTAAAGTCTCAGACCCTTTACAGTGCTTTGCAAGCTTATATCCTTGTTTAAATTAATATTCAAAACACCCTAAAACTCAAATATTTTGATCTTCATGTTGTTGATAAGAAGACTGGAACATGGAGCAGTTAAGTAACTCTTTCTTGCTCTCAGAGCTAGTTAGTGCCTGTGGTGAGATTTCTGGCCAACTCTGTCCCATTCTAGAACTACTCTCTTTTCATAACATCATGTCGACATGTTAAATTGCAAACATTAAAATGCCTGTAGTTCTACTGTGGCACTGGGCCAGTTAAAGTCCTGTTGGACCCTGAGTCATCCCTGTTGCTGTGATGATAAAAATGTTCAGGCAGGAATGGAAAACAATTGAGCTGTGTCTCTTCCAAGGAGCATAAAAAGATAAAATCATCAGGAGTTCCTTCCATTTAAAAGAAGAAAAAGTTCTTCTCACATATTTACATAAGAGTTGGCTCAAAGCCCCGACCTACTGCCCTTTCCTCTGGTGAATGATGAGATCCACTCCTCACCAGGTGGGATGGGCTGAGTCATCCGGATTGAACAAAGGGTAGGCGGCGTGGTGGGCCGGCGCGGTGGGCTGGCTCCGAGGAGGGGGAGGTCTCCAGCTCCCTAAGCAGGGTCTACACCTTGGTAAGCCTTTGGAAGTCCCCTTGTAAATTTCCATGGTGCATTTTCATCTTGTGTCCTGTTTAGTTTGGCCATTGCCTTACCCTAGTGATAGAGACTGACCTCTACCTTCAGTGACTCCCTATTGCCTATGCGGCCAAGTCCAAATTTCTTAGCTTGGGGCCCAAGACCCTCCATGGTCCAGCCCTCATCTACTGTGCAACTGACCCAGGTCTCCCTTCCTCTCCGAAGCCTTTCCTAAGTCCATACCATTCCCCAGGTGGAACGGGTCCCTCCCTCCTTTGTTTTCTACTGTATCTGTACCACTTCTCTCTCAGCATTTATAGCACTTTAAGGCCGTATACATGCTTATCATTCCCAATGAGCCTCAGACCCCTCAAGGCAGGATTTGTTGTATTCAGCTGTGTAATCCCACACTTACATGGGCACCTAATACATGTGGGTGGATTGCAGCTAGATACTCAGATGCACATGCATATTATCTATGTCTCCGGGTCTGAAATTTCATCACTCTTATTTTAGCAATGAATACTGTTAAGAAGCACAAATCACCCCAGAATGGTTAGTACAGATGATTTGGCATGCTGTGATCTAGCTGATCATCTTCCTTTTAAGAGTGATCTGGGTGGCAGCTTCCTGGGTGCCTGAGGTGTGGATGCAGTGTGAATGACCCCACAACGCCTGCTGCCAAGAGCTTCCTAATCATCCTGCGAAGGGCAGACAGGCTCCACTTGGTCCTCCTCTCCCACCACTGGAGTAGCCTCTCATTCTGGGCCAGTGCTCACCTAGGATGGCTGAGACCTGGCTTGGGGTGCTCTGATCCCAGCTCTGATGGGTCATTCCAGCATCCAGGAGTCCTGGTGCCACCTGCTCTGCTGTGGAAGAAGTCCTGCTGATTACCCTCAGCATGCCGAAGGGAGGAGGGTCTTCTCTCCAAGCCCCTTGCCAGACAGGTCTGGGTTCAAATGCTCCCTCTGCCATTAGAAGCTGAGTGGCCTCCAGCAAGCCCTTTGACCATTCCGTGCCTTAGTTTCTACAGATCTGAAGGGGGAGATGGAGAATATCCCCCTGCCAGGGTTACTGTGAAGGTTAAAGGAGGCTCAGATGCAAAGGAGCTGGGATTCCCTGCAGAGTGTGCTCCAGCCCTTCCCTCTTTTTCCAGCCCTTCTCTCCCCATCTCCTCTATTTATCTCCCCTCTCTTCCTTTCCTTTCCTCTTGCCTCCTTAAACAGTTTTTGGAAACTTCTGTGTGTGCATACTTGTGCATATTTACCCCAATCAAGATGTGCTGTGGTCCTGCCGTGTGACTATAGTGCACTGTTGGGGGAGGGATTAAAGATAAAGCAAGCAGGTGCCTGACCAGAGGGAGCATTATTTATCATCCACCAGTGTGCACTGGCTGCATGTGTATGTGCGTGCAAGCTGCACGTGCATCATCTCATTAAGCTGCTCTACTTCTCAGTGTGGCCATCTCTCCTCTGCAGTTAGTCTGTGACAGCAACCCTCTTAGTGGCAACTGGACTGGGCCACCTTGGATGACCTGGGCCTGCAGCTTCTGTGTCATGGCTGCTTGCTGCTATTGGGCTTGATTCTGGCTGGGCCCAGGACCCAGTGGGTTTCAGTAGTTCTTCAGGACAGTGGGCAGGAAAGAGAGTGAGGATGAGGGGTTAATGCAGGGGAGGAGAGGGGCCAAGGAGCTGGGATCCTTGGCCAGTTCCATGAGCACAGGCAGAAAAGATGGCTCCTGGGCTGCCCAGGGAGGGAGGACAAGTGACCAGTCTCCCTTCCCCACAGGGTACCAGCCCCCAGGGAGGCTCAGGGGCTCCAGGGTCATCCTCTCCCTGGAGCCTTTTCCAAACCAAGGTGGTGTGTGGGCTCTGGGTGTCACCTCTGTGCCCACTGGACAGACATCTGTGCTCACAAGCCTTGAAGACAAGGGCTTATGCCCACCTACACTCAAGACCCTGCAGTGATGTCACAACCGAAAGAGATGTGAGGGGTTGTTTAGTATCGTGTCTCCCAAATGTGTTCCAAGGAACAATCGGTACACAAGTTTATAACAGGTATTCTGTGAAGGAATGAGGTCTCTGCCCAAATGTGTTTGGGAAATGCTGCGTTACTCTTCTCCCCTGCCCCAAGCCATGGTCCACTTTGGACTAGTCAAGATGCTGAGAAGCCCTGCACTGGCTTAAATTCCCTTAATATGTCATTTTCCAAATTTATTTGCACATGGAATACCATTTTGTTGAAATGATTCTATAATCATTTTGCCAGGCTGGTGGTCTATAGATCACAGTTTGAGACATATGGATATAGCCAAGTCCTTTATTTTATAGATGAGAAAGTGCAGGTCCGGGGAGCTCAGGTCACCCAGAGAAGGGTCTGGCCTTTGGACCAGGCTCCAGCCATCATCAGCTTCTGCAGGCTCTCTCTACATCTCTCCCCACCACAGCCTTTCCACCTCCAGCTCCTTGTATTGGTGGCCTTCCAGGCTGAGCTTAGATCCCCATCTTCATCTTAGGGAGAGAGATGAGGGACTTTTTTGCTGACCCTCAGGTGGAGACAGTGCAGCCTCAATAACCTGAGCTGCAGGGGGCTCCTGAGGTGACCCTGGACCCCTGGGGTGCAGACTTAATCTTGGAGCTGCTGGTTTCTGAGTGATCATTGAGCTGTTTGGAATTTTAGAAAGACTGGCATGGGAGGGAATGATTAACGAGTACATCTTCTCTCTCTGCTATTCATTTTCAATCATGGTTGCTCCTCAGGAAGCACTTAGATGTGGTGCAATGGGGAAGGTTTGCTAACTAACACACACACACTTTCTGATTAGTGCCAGTGATGGACATCAGAAGGTAGTGAGCACAGAGCCTTGGGCACACTGGTGCCTGCCCTCACCACTGGGACTCAGGTTCACAGAGCTTCCATTACTAGCACCATTTTCACTGGAGGGAGGAGGACATTGGGCAAGAGAAGTCAAGCAAGTTGCTCAAGGTCTGGGACCAGAAAAGGGAAGCAGGGACGCATGTGCTCCACCACTCAATGCCATTGTCACCGGCATTTTGGTAAGGATGGGCTCACTCAGATTTGTTAACATGTCCGCTATTTTATAAAATTGTGCATTAGAAAGTCAATGCTTCAGCCAAGGCTCTGGCCGCTGGGACAATCTATTTCTGGAGGGACACCTCACCCCTTCATTTGTTTCATGCAGCTGATGCCATGTTGGGGAGGGAATGCTGGTCACTCGACCTCCCTTCCTCAGCAGGACCAGGAGCCGGCTGCATGGTCTGGGTCTGCGCTCTCAGAGAACTGGCCCATGGGAGCATCCTAGCCATCCCCCGCACAGATGCCATCAGAAAACACAAAGTCATGTGGGTGGGAAGCAAGCTCTGGGTGGTGTTTATGTTTCCCCAGACAATTACGGTGATGCCATTTGACTCTGAGTGCTCAGTTACATTTCAAATTTATTTCCAATTGTTTCGAGCTGGATCAATGGGAGACAAAGATACCTTTTAGCTCTGGCACCTGCTGTTCCCCCCAAATGTCAAGGACTGACATTATCCCAGTCAGTGTATGGATGACTCACTTCCTTGCTTCTCCAGCCCCTGGACCACCCACCCCACTCACCCCAACACCGACTTTCACGACAATGAGATGACATCCTGCCCAGGGAGACCCGTGTGCCCATTCTTCCTTTCTCCCTGGCAGAACAAAGGCTGGCCTCGTGGGTGGCCGCTGCCTCACTGGGTCGCTGGGAGAGGCTTCATGCATCTTGGGTCCTCCTCTTTTCCTCCCCAGGCAGGCACCTAGTATTCTAGGTGTGTATCTTGGGAGGAGGCAGGTCTGCCTGGTGATGCCAGTAGTGGTGGTGGGGTGCATTTTCCTTTGTGGAATTGGAGGAGGCACTCAGGGAGGTGAGGTCTCATGTCCCTCAGATAAAATACTCCTTTCTACTGCTGTCACCGGCGTCCTGGAGGGCAGGGTCACCCTGTAGAGCCACATCTGCACTTTCAGCAAATTCCGTGCCCTTGGCCTCGTTGGTATGGTATGTACCCTTGTGCCGGTACACGTAGCATAGTACNACTCTGAGTGCTCAGTTACATTTCAAATTTATTTCCAATTGTTTCGAGCTGGATCAATGGGAGACAAAGATACCTTTTAGCTCTGGCACCTGCTGTTCCCCCCAAATGTCAAGGACTGACATTATCCCAGTCAGTGTATGGATGACTCACTTCCTTGCTTCTCCAGCCCCTGGACCACCCACCCCACTCACCCCAACACCGACTTTCACGACAATGAGATGACATCCTGCCCAGAGAGACCCGTGTGCCCATTCTTCCTTTCTCCCTGGCAGAACAAAGGCTGGCCTCGTGGGTGGCCGCTGCCTCACTGGGTCCCTGGGAGAGGCTTCATGCATCTTGGGTCCTCCTCTTTTCCTCCCCAAGCAGGCACCTAGTATTCTAGGTGTGTATCTTGGGAGGAGGCAGGTCTGCCTGGTGATGCCGGTAGTGGTGGTGGGGTGCATTTTCCTTTGTGGAATTGGAGGAGGCACTCAGGGAGGTGAGGTCTCATGTCCCTCAGATAAAATACTCCTTTCTACTGCTGTCACCGGCGTCCTGGAGGGCAGGGTCACCCTGTAGAGCCACATCTGCACTTTCAGCAAATTCCGTGCCCTTGGCCTCGTTGGTATGGTATGTACCCTTGTGCCGGTACACGTAGCATAGTACAACGAAGATCAGGCTGACCAGAACGATGGCCACAGCGGCGACCACACCTGCAGGTGGGAAGAAATGCACAGTTTGGTCTGGGGCCCTGGAACCTGGGGCAGGGGGTCAGGACCCACAGAGGTTGTGTCAGGACAGACGTGCTGCTTGCTATAACAGACAGACTGCTTCATTCCTTCCTCAGGCTTCTCACTGCCTGGTGTGAGAGCTCGTCCCTCATCTGTGCCCACGTAAAATGATCCCTCTCTCCCGTCCCTCCCTCCCTCTTTCTTTTCTTCCCTTTCCTTCCTCTGCTAAGCACTCTGCAGACAGGATAGAGCAGTGTTCCAGGATTGAGCCCGGCTAGAGGGGATCACAGATCTATAAGGGGTCCCTGCAGTGTGTGCATAGTGAGTGTAATGCGCATGTGGGCTGAGGGCTCATGGGACTCAGAGCTTCATGTTTCAAAGCTGCTCAGTCCCAGTTGAGGGGTTTCCTGGGGCATGGGACCTTCCATGCTAAAGCAAGGAAAGTCACAGAAACCTGCGAAGAGTTGATTGCCCTATGTGCACTCCAAAGGGGGAAAAAAGATGAGGGCTGTTAACTGCGCACATGGGGGTTTGTCATGTGAGCTGTGGTTTGTGTTTTCCCAAGGCATGACGCTGCTCCCCACCCACCCTGCTCCCATTCACTGCTGGGAGGTGAGGACTGAGATAGTTCTGGCAGGAGGAGCAGAACCTGGCCACAGAAAGGACTGAAGAGGGAGGCGATCCCTGCAGAGGACGATGTGCCAAGGCTGGAATGTGCTGGG